AATGAAATGGGTGTAATCTTTTTCATTTGAGGGAACAGACACAGAGAGGTCTGAACCTTGTCGGCCAGCGTTCTCCCGCGGTACAGGGTCTGTCTCTATGGAAATCAAAGTCAACATTCTTCAAAAGGTCAACCTCGTCAACACAGTCTATGCTGCTTCACTTTCTATGGGTTTAGTGTTTAATGAAGATGATTGAGTTTTCTCCCTTATTTTTTAAAACGGCGTTTCACTAGAGTCATCTAGATACTGGTCCCTTTAGTCCAATACTTGATTATTTCTTTTGATCGAAGACCGATATCTTCCATCTGCTCAGAAAATAAGCCAATTAACTTTAAATTAATTATTGCTTCTGAGTTAGCCCTTCTGTCTCTCTCTGGGAATATAATTCGAAATCAAGAGTAGCTCCTGTAGTTGTCCTCTTTGTCTCTTCTTGCTCCCATGATTTCTGTCTCATTGTCCCCCTGTACCCGTACCCAAGACATCTCTCTCATTTGGAATTTACTTCACCCATTTCCTTCAATGTCTGTTCTGTTGCCCGTACTTTCAACACAGGCAAATCATCCTGATCAGTTTGTTTCCGTCCCTTGACTACTGATCTAATTTCACAGATCCAAATTCTCTTAAGTCTTATGGGCATCACCATTCAGATACGATCTCATTTTTGCCTCCTGTTCCTTGAAGCCAATGTCTTTTACAGAGAAATGTCCCCACCCTCTGCCCTGTCCCCTCCACCGCGCATCCCCTCGCCCGGTTACTCAGAGTTACTTCCTTATCAGAGCCACCAGCATTGCACAACTCCAGGGAGGCAGCCTCAGACCTGTCCTTAGCTTTAATCTGCCTCCTGCCGGGGGCCAGTTATACCTCGTTGCTTTCCCTCTGACTTCTGGCTGATGGTGACAGGGCATAGCAGGGGCAGAACCGGAGGCAGAGAAGTCACCTAGAGGCAGCTTTTCGTAGTGTGGCTCTGTGCGTGGTGACAGACACACTTTGCAGCCCGAAAGCTCCATGTTCCTGGCCGTGGGCTTGTGTTTCTCTGTCTTGTGATATGGGTGTGCTCATGTACTCAACAATGCTGCTCACAGAACTCTCTTTCACCTCTGCAAGAGCTCTGTTGGGTATATGGCTCTTTCTCTGGAAATGCAATTTGGACAAAGTTTATACTCCTTTGGCTTCCTGCCTCAATGGCAGGCAGCAGGGCAGAGACTTGGGGTAGTAGCTGCTGGACAGAGAAGGGCACAATGCTTTGCATTATGGCTAAAGATTTCTGTGACAACCATTCATTATAATTCACATCACCAGGGGATCAACTCTTTGCATGGCACAGCAAAGAAGAGGCATCAGCTCCCTTATTTTCCGACCATCCATCTGAGAAGGGCTTCATTTTCTCCGCATTCTTTTCTTGCTGTCCTTGTTCATGCTTACCAGTGCACTCAGCACTTTGGTGGGTACAGAGAATGTAAGTCATTCTAGACCATGACTGCTTAGCAGTGGCCCTGCATCCAGCTGAAAACCAACCCATTGATAGCTATTGCTAAGACAGTAGTGCTTGAAGTGTGGCCTCTGGACCTATGACCATCACCCTGGGAACTTGTTAGAAAAGGAAATTGCCAGGCCTCACCTCTGAACTACCACATCAGGAATTCCAGGGCTGGATCCCAGCAATCTGTGTGCTGTCCAGGTGAGTCTGATATACCCACGTCTGCCCTCTTCACCTCAACCCCGCAGACAGTGTTCCCTAAATGCATCCCAAGAGATGCCCCTGAAAGATATGAAGGCTCCCTGGAGAGCTGGGTGCTTAGTGACTGGTCGCTAGACCTGTTCTTCCTAGTTACTTTTCATTTCATTTAACTCAGTGTTTTCCAAACTGGTTTGACCATAGAATTCTTTAATCCTGTCAAATGCTTTCAGTCCTGACTGCTCAGCATATCTGTCCTTTTCCTAGTTCAGAACCTCAGCAGTTGAAGCTCAGTGCATCTGGCCACCCACATCTATGAACTTGGTCATCCCCAAGTAGACTTCTGAAGCTTGCATTTCCTCTGGGTCCTTGCTGATGTCTCAGAGAAGGGTCTCAACTACTCACTCAGACCATGGAGGGAGGTGGCTCGGATCACAGCTGTAGTAAGACTGTGGACTTGGGGTCCTGGGTTTATACTAACTAGCTTTGTGAACTCAGGAAAGAGTCTGTGTTTCACAGGGCTCTCATGGGGGTAAATGAAACCAGGGGTGCAATGGGATGGACATGAGGTTTAGAGTGAGGACACCTGGGTGTCAGCTGGCTCCGTCATCCACCAGCTTTGGGTCTCTGGCTTCAGTTTTCCCATCTGTAAATGGGGCAGTAATAACTATAATAGCTCACATAGTATATGTGAGAGAGCTTTAGACACCACATCATGCTACAAAATGTTCACTGTTATTATGTCAGAAAAATCCTGAGCCATGTTTTCAGAGGCTCTGTCCCTCTGCCTGGCATGAGGTATGGCATCAGACTACTTTAGTTCCCTGTCGAACAAACATGGCCCCACAGTACTGGGCGGTGCCTAGCCCTGAAGGCCCTTGTTCCTGCGGACGGGAAAGCATGATTTGTAAGGAGCATAGGCACTGTTTTATGTTCCATCTTTCTCAGTATTGATTTGTTTATCAAAATTTTTATTTATAAGGATCACAGAAATAAACCAGCCCAAATTCTGCGGGATATATCACAGGTTCTGAATTAATGAGGTTCAAATTTATGATGGTTCTGAACTGTTACTTCCTTTTCTAACTTTTCTGTGGTAGGGAGGGGAGTGGGGGAGAGGAGAAAGTGACCAAGTTACAGGACAAAATCTCCCTCCCCCCTGGGGCTGATAGCTCAACTCTCCACACACCCCTTCTCCCTCTTCCATCCCAGATAAAGATGTATTTCTCTGGGCACTAGAGTCTGCTTTCTGGAGCTGTGACATGGCTTGGACATGGGCAAAATCCTCTTAGTTCAGCTCCAATAATACTATCCTATACAATTCTGGGTTGGGACCACAATACTTTACAGCAGGAGAGTTCCCTGTGGAAAGCTGTGTGCCCTGAGGAATGAGGTATTTATTCCAGAGTGGAGGGCCTGACGGAAGTGGTGGGAAGATTGGCTCATGTTTCTCATGCACTAAAACAGTAGTTCTCAGAGTTGTTCCCTGGGAGCAGCAGCACAATATAACCAGGCAACCTGAAAGAAGTGTAGAATCTTGAGCCCCATTCCAAATCCGTGGAATGAGAAACTGGGAGTGGGGCCCAGCAGTCTGTGTTTTAACACACCCTTCCGGTTTTTGTGATGTGTACTACTCAGGTAAACCACTGACTTAGGAGAAGAAGGAACCAGCCAGCCAGATTCTGCTGTCAGAACAGAATGCTGGAGCCTGAAATTTGAATAGCAGGTGGTGCCAGGCATGCGTGAGGCTCCCAGCAAATGCCCATTGAATGCGCCTGAATAAACTGAGCTTGTCATTTCTCTACTTATTCTAGGGCAGTGGTTCTCCTTCTGTGGCACATTAGAATCATCCAGAGAGCTTCTTAAAAATACCCTTGCCTGAGCCCAGACTCTCACTAGAATCCCTGGAGTTGCATCTGGACAATTGTTTTTTTCTTAAAGTTTTCAGATGATTCGGACATGTCCCAAGATTTGAGATCTACTAAAGCAGAGTGCCTTCCTAAGAAAAATGCAATTGAGGTTGTGTTTATATTTACCATATATTTTTCCATTAGAAATTTATTTTACCTGTTTCTTTTATGAAAAGTACATACTCATTATAAACAGAAAACCTTGGAAAATATAGAAAAGTTGAAAGGAGAGTAGAAATAAAGAAGATTCATGTTCCAACTACCCAAAGACAGTTGTCAATATCAGGTGTATTTTCTATCAGTCTTTTTTTTTTTCTTTTGAATGAGGTGGTTTGAACTTTTTACAGCATTGTGATCATATTTAATAAAGTATTTTTGTCCACTTTATAACTTAGCATTACATCTTAGGTAGTTCTGCACACTGTTATAACTGTGAGTACATTTTTTAATATGCGCTGGTGGCGACATGACAAAAATATGGCTTTTCTCCACTTCTGCGTGTGCATACCTTAAGGTGGCATTTAGAGAATCTTTTCTTTCTTTACAATGCCTGCATTTCGAGCATAATTGTGGAATCCTATTTAGAACATTGAAAGCCAAACATTAACTTGCTATTTCTCTTTGAATTTCTTCTCCCAGGGTCCTGCTCACCACCTTTTTTCTCACCCTGTCCCCACAGGTAGCTGACTGCAGTAAGGCTGCCGAGGTATGAGATCTTCCTGCAGGAAGCCAAGAGAGGGAAGCACATAAATATTTTCCCAGGGTTTTATAACCACCACTCTGCTTGTCAGGCCCAGCTGATGCTGGATTTCTCCTAAGCCACAAGGCACTAGTTGCATGGGATGTGGTATGAGTCACACATGTACACATACAGGGAGCAGTCCTGACCAAGCTCATGCCTCTTTGCTTTGGAAGGAAAGAAGACAAATGAGTAAGGCAAGAAGAGAAAGAAGGCTTCTGAGACACAGGAAAGGATAGTAGGACAAAGAACCTGATGTTCTGGTGTGCTCTGTCAGAAATGCCAAAATCAAGTCATGTGGCCCCTTTTCCCCCACCCTGCTTTCAACATAACCTTCCCAGAACTTTCTTCTTTGTTGCAGCATGATATATATACATATGTATATATGTGTGTATATATATGTGTATATATATATGTACATGTATATATATATGTGTGTAAATATACACACATATATATATTTTATAAATTTATATATAAATATGTAATACATATATTTTATAAATATATATAAAGTATGTATATATATATTTGTTTTTCTTGACTCCTATTACCTTTTGGCTTAGCTGCTGATGTGAAATTAAGGTCCTCACCCCCACTGGGTGAACAGGAGCTACATGTGTCATCTTGTGGGTGTCATGGATGTGCCAGGTAATTCTGCCCCATCTTCTTACAGGACATTATGGGAAGGATGCTTACCGAAGTGGAGGACCTGATCTCCACAACTTCATCTCATCTGGATTTGTCACATTAGGAAGAGGACACACGAAGGGTACAGTGGAAACCATTTTTTACTAAAATACAGAGATTGCCTAGGGAACCCCAATCTGAAATGTGAAGATGGTGTGGAGGCCAGAGGCTTGTCCGGGACAGGAATCAGTGGGGTGGTTCCGTTGCAGCTTATCCTGGTGACATGTGTGGCTTCTGACAGGAGGTCACAGGGGTGACTTTAGAGGGCAATAATAGATTTCCAAGAGACATCCGTCCTGCTCCTCCCACGGTGCGAGCAGGACAGAGACACCAGTGGTGCCCTGTGGCAGGAAACACTGCCAACGGATGAGGCAGCACTGGCAGTGTTCTTCTCTTGGCTATTATTCCTTTTCCTTCTTAAAGCCACATTTTATAAACCGATGTCAATGTTCTGTACTGTGGGTTTCTAAGCCAGCATGCACAGTGAGAGTGTCAGTGTCCTAAGTGTGTCTGTGTAAACCCCTCTATGATGTGGACACAAGGGTAGAGGTTACACAGAGCTTTAAACCACAAGATGAACGCTAACATGGCATTTTTGCTGAGCTGCTTAATGACCTAGCTGACAGCTTGCAGAGCATCTGTGCAGGGGGAATGGAATCCTCGATTCTGTCTTTTGTCTAAACAGAGTCCTATTTGTTTTGTGAGCATTCTGTCATATTCAGTGACTGATCCGTAACTCCTTTGATTACTTTCCTAACACCTGTGTACTGTTCCAGACCAACTGTGAATTCTGTTGTAGGGATGGCATATCCCTGTCTTCCTCTGAATTTTGTGTCTGTTTTAAGTGTGAGCAAACAAGGAACTCTGCAATATTTTCTTACATTCCATGCACCTACTTTTTAAATTCCTTATGTGATGTTTGTTCATCCTATAGAGAAAAAAACAATCTGTATTTGTGTATGTATTTTCTGTTGTGTCTGTTTGTGTCTAAATAAAGTTTATTGAGGATACAGGTGGCATTTGTGGCTACTAAGAGTTGCAGAATCAAATTGGGACCAGCCGGCTCCAGAAGCGGAATTGGGCTGCACAGTTAACGACTGAAAGACAATCCTAGTCATGCCCCAATCAACTCAAACACGGACGGCCACCTCCATGTCACTCACTCTGTGATAATTACCTACTGCCGTGAAACAAATGACTAAAATGTAACATTTTAAAACAAAAAAACATTTATTATCTCTTGTAGTTTTTGTGAGGGCCAGGTCTGGAGCAGCTGAGCTGGGAGCTCTGGCTTGGGGTCTCTCACGAGGTTGCGGTCAATGTCAGCAAAGGCTACATCATCTGAAGGCTCAATTGGGGCTAGAGGTCCTGCTTCTGAGATGGTTCACTCACATCCTGCTGGCTGTCGGCAGGACCCTCAGCCCCCCACCCCGTCACATTCTCTCCATGGGCTGCTTCAGTCCCCCCCGCATGGTGGGTGGGTTTCTTCAGAGCAAGTGACCTAAGGAAGAGAAAGCCAGAAGCCAGAATGTCTTTTATGACCAAGTCTGTCATTTACACACCATTGTTTTCTCAATAGCCTATTGGTTGCACAGTCAACCCTATTTGGAATAGGAGGGGACCATACACAGATATGACTATAAGGTGTCCAGTATCACTGGGGGCCATTTTGAAGGCTGGCTGCCACAGTCCTGCAGCCCAGGGAGCAGAACTGCAATGTCTGGATTTCTCACTCAGACACAGCAACAGTTCCCAAGGCTTCTGAACTGCAGTGGTTTCCCACCCCGACCCCACCCACTGTGGGCGGCCCAAGCTGAAATACCCAACAGTTCAATCAGTAGAACTCTTTTATAAATGCTACATCTTTGGGGTTCACACATCCACTCAGCAAGTGTTTCATGAGGCCTGTTATGTGCTGAGCAATTCTCAGAAGTAAACCAAATAGAATCACCCCTCTGGAACTCATACCCCACTGGGGGAAGAAGCAGGTAGGGGGCAGGGAGTACCAGGGCAGGATGCTACCTCATCAGGGAGAGGTCTTGGATAAGTGCCTGAGCAGAGAGGCCTGTATCCCAGGCAGAGGCAACAAGGGGCACAGCAAGGACCTGAGGGAGAAGCTTGCTTGAGGTGTGGGGAAACAGGAAGCAGGGTGGGAGAGAACAGGAGTAGGAGATGGAAGCAGAGCCACAGGGGGACCTGACCACACATTCACCAGGTGTGGACATAGGCTGCTTCCAGATTAGCTGGACCCCCATCACAGCGGCATCAAGGTGGTTCCTATCCCTGCTTGCCCTTTTGGTCACTGCCACTAGAGGCATGCAGGAGACCCTACCTTGCCCAGGCACCTGCCCTACCCTACCCTTTGCGGTGGCTGTGTCCCCATCCTAACTTGCTCTGTGGCCCTCCTGTGCATGCCCAGTCTGTCCCCCCACCCATCGCCCTTACCAGCTCCTCTTCTCCATCGCTTTACCCAAGACTTCTGAAACCTCCCCCGCCCAGGGAGTGTACCTTGCGTGAATTTCCTTTTAGATAATAACTGAAGTTTCATGAGCAAAGAGACTGGGGTAGGGGAGTGTGAAAATAGGGTTCTCCTTCTAATATGAGAGCTCTTCATTCCTGCACAGCCTAGATCTCTGCCAAAGGGCCGAGCTCCATTCTGTCCTCCTGCAGTTTCCACTCTGCAAACCAGCCCCAGGTAAATACCCACAGGAAGGTAACCACTCAGAGGCCAGTGTCCATCAGGGTGATTCATTCTCTGCCTTTCTTTTTCTGTTTATCTTTGTTTCAACTCCAGTTCTGCCTCTCTGGTCCCTCTTCCTTTATTCATTTTCTTCTTTTTTCCGACATTTTTCTTAGGCCTTCTGGTGGCACCTGGACACTGTGAAACCCCACTGTGACTCTCAGAACTAATGGGGTAACTAACACCTGCTTTAGAAGGTAGTGCCATTTCCTGCCAACCTGCATATCACTGAATTTAACATATTTCTATCAGACCTTGATTATCTGACAACCGAGCATTGATTGTCTCTATTCTAAGTGGCCCTGTGAACCTTCATTGCAGGCCCGTCTGCCATTCCACAGCCCCAGAGGCGTGGTGGAGAGAGAGGGGTCCTCTGGCTTCAGCAGGGCCTTCTCCCTGTGCAGAGCTAGGGCTGAAGATGCATATAGATCTGGTTGCTTCACAACAAGACCCAGGTGCACAGGTGACTCTGCCTCTCAGATGAAGCCTAAATAAGTTCATGTTCTTTCATTAATGGGCTTGAGAAGGTGAGACGTGAGAAGAAATAGAATTCTGACCCTGGGGGCTTGGTAACTACCAGAGCCCCCTGCTCCATCTCCATCCCGTTCGGGACCCCATGTTTTGGCCCAGAAGGTCACACAGTTGTTGACCGACCTCTGCAGTGGTGTAACCCTGCCTTAGGCTCCCTGGCACCAGCGCTCCTACTGACACCCTTCCGGGATTTACTCTCTAACTGGATGTGTGCTCCTGCCCTCTTCCCGTAATTCTTACTCTTTCTGCTCTTCTCCCCTTCTAAGGAACTGTTTCTGCTTGTGTCCCCTGCTCTGATTTCTTCCTTTGAGCCCCTGCTTGCCTGTCACTTAGGGTAAATGGAGTTAAGGCTAAGGAAAATACTGATCACAGTGGTCCTCCTCTAGACCAAGTTCTCCCTAAGACGTTGTCTCTGTTCTTCAAACACCTACACCCCCATACAACAACCTGGAGCAGTCCCTGGGGAAGCAGAGCCACCCAGGCTGCCACAGTGAAAACCCAGCAATAAAGGCATCTATTTGCTGAGCATTTACTATGTTCTGGCAGTTCGCCTACAGGGTCTCATTTTCACCTTCTTAACCCCATTTTACCAGTGAAAAACTGAAACTAGAGCAGGCAAATGACTCGCCCATCAAACAGTTAGTGCTGTTTCATTCCAAATCCAGGCTTGTTTCCAAAGATCACGCTCCCAGCCACTGTGCATCTTTCCTCTTGAACATGGGAGATGCTGAGGGCATGAGGAGCACTGGCTCAGGAGGACTGTGCCCAGTAAGCACCCAGTGTCTGTGGCTGGTCTTATTTGAGGCACACATTTTGCAAGATAGGAAGTCACAGAAAGAAGACGGACCAAGAGTTAGAGCATCAACACCAGATTAGCAGAGTCGGTCCTTCTAGAAAGGAAGCTCAGTCTCCTTCATTTTTTAATTTAGTTTTTAATTATTTTCCTTTAATTTTTCAGGATCTGTGTACATGAACACACCTACAGAGACCCTATTCTATTTAAGCAGTTTAGTTAAAATCTCAGGCTGGTTGCTTTTGAGTCTGGTCACAGAGCCCCCATGTGTCAGTATTGTTAAGTCCAGTGATCTGTGCTAGTGTATCCCAGGTCCAGTGATCTGTATCCCAGGCCACACGAGACCTGAGTCCTTATGGGAGGCAGTGGCAGCAGATGCACACGTGCTCAATGCCACTGGCTTCTGCACTCAGGCCATTACTGTAGGGAATGTGATGTGCTTGCTTACTGCCTGCCTCTCCAATGGGGTTTCTCAATGTTTACCAGGTCCTTCCCACAGTGCTGGGGACCAGCTAGAGGGGCGGGTGTGTATGTGTGTGTATGCACATGTGTGAGAGACAGAGACAGAGAGGGAGATCCCTGAAGCCTTTACGAAGAGTTAGGAGCTCCTAAGTGATTTACCCTTGTAGGAGGCAGGCACTGTTGCCCACCTGGCCATCCCTTCCTTCATGTGAGCACATATGCTGAGAGCCTGCTCAGTGCCAGCCACGATTTGAGGCACTGAGGGTAGCACAGACCAACTTCCGGACCAGTGGGAGATGATAGAAATAAAGGATGCAAGCAGTTAATTCCATGAAGTGTGTCAGGTGGAGTTGAAAGCTATGGAGCAAAATGGAATAGGGAAGGGGCGGAAGGAATTGCAATTTTTAAAAGAGCACTTGGAAGGCTTCAGAAAAAGGTGACATTTGAGCACAGTCTGCAGGGATAAAGGATCAAACAATCTGGAGTTGGGGGAAGGGTCTCCCAGGCCGAAGGAGTAGCCCCGTATCGCCCACCTGACCTGTGTGGGCACAGACGG